GGCTGGAGAGGAGGGAGGGAGGGTGTCCAGGCTGCAAACTGCTAACACCCACACGGGGAAGACGCCAGGCTTGAAACCAACCAGCAACTCAACTCTGGCTATCCAGACCTGGGGTGCAGGCAGCAGGCTGGGCCAGCGGGAGGTGGGCACAGCACCGACAGCAGCCCCCCACTGGCCTGCTCTCGGGGCCAGCCTGGGCAGGGGTTGGACGGAGTGCATCTGAGGCTGGGTGTGGAGAGGGCTGTGGCCTGCCATCAGGAAGGACTTCCTGGATGAGGAGGAGAGAAAATCAAGGGAGAGTCCCCTCCTCCCCATCCCCTCACCCCCTGAGTTTGAATCTGAGGGGAGGGGTGATTGAACTTAGGTGGCCCTCCGGACTCATAGATAGGAAATGGGGGGCAGGGAGACCTCTGTGTCTAAGTTTTCCGGGTGTGCGGGGAGTGAGAATCCCATGCACACTCACACAAATACACACACACACACTCATACACAATTACACACACACACTTGGGCACCCAATCACTCACACATTCACACACACACACACACTCATACACAATGATCCCCACACCCCCGGGCACAAGCATGTGTACACTTGCACACACTCACACTCACATTCATTCACTCATACACACACAATTACACTCACACACATGCACACTCGCTCATACATTCATCACACTCGGGTACACACTCACAACCACATGCACACTCGTGCAGTTACACGCATACACACTTGGCACACACATACACATTCACAACCACATGCACACTCGCTCATACACAGTTATACATTCACACATTTGGGCACACACACTCACTCATACACACTCGCCGCACACTCGCTCATGTGGTCACACACTCACACGCACACCTACACTTGCATACTCACACACACACACGCACACACTCACATGCTCTCTGCACCAGACACCCACACTCGCACACACATACTCATGCACACACTCACATCGTCTCGGCACCAGGCAGATGTGAGGTGGAAAAAATTCGGTAATGGGGGTGGTGAGTCAGGGGGCTGGCAGCGCTCGTCGGCCATGAGCTCATCGCCTCCCCCCTCTGGGTCTAGCCACCCCCC